TCTCTGTAATTACAATGCCCAGAGTTTCGAATTGTGGTCATCTACAAAATTTATTAAAAATCCTGGCCCTAGGGTCTAAAACTGGCCCTGCCGTAAGGATCCCTTTGTTTAAATATAGACTTGTATAGAAAATATATTTATCTCATCTTTTGCTATTTGTCATAAATGATTGCCTAGTTGACCACTACAAATGTTAGATAAGTATATGGGTTAAAAACGGGCCCACCCTGTTAGTTATTTAGTTTACATAGTCTTGTAAAGTAAAATGTCTTTAAAATCTAAATATCCGAAAGTGTACTTTCAAGAGTATAGATATTTCGTCATGAAGCACTTCCTTCTATCTATAAATATTTTAAAATTAACGCAGCAAATCCAATATGTCTTTATTACTGACTTTACCATTTTCTAGCATGAATCCCAGGCGAGAGATCCAGGGCCATCAATTCGTGGCGCTCTTGTTTAAATATATTTTTAACATTAATCTCTTGTTTGTAGTATAGATATTTTAGTTTCTATTTTGATAAATGGTATTTACATAAGTACTTTGACTTGATATCGGAAAATCATGTTTGATAAGTGGTGACAGTATTTGTGATTTCTAATTTTCTGAATAAATAAATTGTATTTAATGTAGCTTAAGTAATAAACTGTATATTGAAAAACTTGTACAATGGGTATTTCACCACTTGGTATTCGGTAATTTCACAAATTGAGAAATACGTCGATAGAGCGTATCAATTTACAAAAGAGCACTTGTTAAAAAGGGTGAAAGAAAAAGAAAGTAAAAATCTCTATACAACAGAGGAATTATAGAAAGATGGTTAGTTTATGATCATTATTTATTTCCTTCGTTAAAGTGCAAATTTTACAAAAATCAAAATTTTAGTGAAGAGCTTCTTCAGATAAGTTTTGGACAATTTTTGTTTTATTTGACATAAACATTTCATATAGCTGATGAAATATTTATAGTGACTTACAGTCATTATTGCATTTAATCATAATATATTGTATTTTCAATAATCATTTCTTACTTATTAAGTTATTTGCATCTATCTCAACTTTTCGGCCCTTTCCGGGATATTTGGGTAAAGGACCGTTGAGAACTTACTAGAAATTCTGAGTTGATTGCCTATCGTTTAAGGCGCAAGGATCTTAGCGCTGCTTTGATTACGATCATGTTTCCTCAAGTCACACCAGTACTGAGAAATTATGTTCAAAGTTACATTTTAAAGCAGCATGCCTCCAGATGAGCAAAGATATTACAGTAAAGTCAAACTTGAGAAACATGTACGAAGATTTTAGGAAAAGTGGAGAGATTCAAGATTCAAGTAATAACTTACATGTTATATGAGATTATTAATTAACTTTTACAATATTGGGCATGTTTTCACTTCAAATGTAAGGCTAATATGATGACACGACATTATGAACATAAAACAAAGCCATTATGCAAAAAATACGGCTTTTATGAGAAAACTCGACTACACCAACGGTGAGGTCAATTAGTCTTCTTAAAAATGGACAACCTACCGGAATCGCTTTACAAGCAAATGACAGGCTACCGATCAGAGACTGAATTTGACATAAGTCGTTTTTTCTTTCGATAAAAACTGTCCAATGTTTTGTCGTAAATCTTCCATTTTTTCAACAGGAACCTGAATAGCCATTTCCTCAGAATCTAAGACAAGGCCAAGAAATATTAATTTTGTGGTAGGGTAAACTGTTTTGTTTATTGCTAAGGGCACATTTAATACAACACAAATGTCTGAAAATATTTTGAGAGATCTACTACCAGTCCAACTGCCGCGCCAAAAGAAATTTGTCAAAATAATATTTCCCTTTAAATTTTATCCCAAGGAGTTCAAAATCGTTTGGGTTAATTGGCAATAACCTAACTGCAGATTGTATGTCAGTTTTAGCCAATAAAGCATTTTTGCCAAGGCCTTGGCGCATTGAAACTGCTTCAACAAATGGGTATATTGGACACTTCTAAGTTCTAACGGAATGAAATCATTGACTGACCGTTCTTTTGGGAAACTAAGATGATGAATTAAGCGATAATCATTGTTTTCTTTTTTTTGGAAAAAGGTTGGTGTGTATATGGTCCACCTATCCTACCAATCTCGATCTCTTAAACTAACGTTTTCCCTACTACGTTGCTTAAGAGCGGACTTAAGATTTCTTGATATTAAATACTCTTGGGCCGTTGGAATGAAGAGGAAACCCGTGGGTATAGCCCAATAAAATCTCTTCAGCTTCAACACGATCAGGTTAAAATGATTATTCGACGGCTAACATATTAACATTAACTGATGACTTTGCCAACTTGTTGTATATATCATTAAAAGAGTAAGACTTAGGCTCGAACTTTCCACGAAAGGAAAAACACTTCAAACCTGGATGTTGATTACCGCAGTTTGAACAGACATGCCTTAGTTTACAACGTTGGCCGAATTTGCAACGGTCCTGGTTAAACTGTACACATACCACAGGCTGAAATGTGTTACTTGTGGCTAACGTTTTCTTATCGGCAATGTCATAATTTTTATCCAAAGATCATTATTGAGCTTTCCTCAAGCCTGAGGAAAACACTCTTGCCTTAGGCGAAACTGCTCGTCATAAATGAACCACGCGGAGTCATTCCTACGCGATGCTGCCTGGCGAATGTTTGCAATGTATGCAAGTAGATCTGAGCAAGCCTGTGGTTTTTGTATCAAGTATATATCCATAAAAATCAAAAATGCATCAAACCTTAACTCTATATTTCTTTTTTTTTTTCGGCTGAAACTTTGGACGAGTTTCTATGACGCCCTCATCTGAGAAAATTAATTGGGACCCTTGACAAGCATTTAGTTCAGCTGAAGATTTCAGCAAAAGCGACAAATTGATATACTTCCCTGCCCAAATTTTTTCTTTCATATTCATAGGAATATGAGAGCTGATTCTATTGTGAATTGTATTCATTAACGACCGTGTTGGTTGATATTGATTAGAGTCAACACGTGGTACCTCTTGGGTAGGGTTCGAACCCGGTGCTGAACATTTCTGTCTGGATTTCGAAGCTGACCCTGTAAAAAAAAACTAAACGCGTTTAAAACTGACTCACCGTGATCAGGTAAAAACTGGTCAATATTTCCTTGGAAGTCCAGAATCAGTCTGGACCTGTGCCGACACCCTTCCGGCCACGTTTCCTGCTGCTTCCGGTGTATGTTGAGGGATATCCTGCTGAAGGCACCTGTTCTCGGGGCGCTCCGATATTCCAAGATAAGGTTCTACTCCCCTGGCTAGAGCTGCCTGCACCTCTCATCTCCGACCCAGACCCCTTACCGGCGGTCTGTCCCGACGGAAAGGTTCGTCCACGTGGCACGTCTGTGGCGTAATCGTCATTCCCTAGGCATTTCTCCAAAATGTTTTGAACCAAGTACCATGAAGGATTTAAAATGAAATAGATTTCTATATACTGTAATCCCTTTCCAAAAAACAAATAAACATTTGGCGCAAAAACCTAAATCTAAATTTAATTGCCACGTGCGATTTCGGCAAGACTATTTTATCATCGATGTTGCTTCGGTGAATGACGATATCCTAAAAGCATGACGTCACTCGCGCGTTGAGCGCTTTTTTTATATTAAAACATATGCGAATACCATTAATAAGGAGTAAAATAAAAAAGCAGTAATCTGGAGGCATGCTGCTTTAAGTAATGCCGAACTCAGAGAGAAGTTTTGCTTCATTGGCATGGACTGCACAATAGTTACAATACTAATATATAAACAGACAAGCCAAACAAACACGAACATTCGGTTATTATTTATTGCATACGTTTCGGCTATATGCCGTCATCAGTGCAAAACATAATAAAAATTACCGGAAGCGACGTCATAACGGAACACGCGTCGTTATGGCGTTTAGCGGCAAAAATATGATAACATGTAGAATGTTAATAGATCTACTTATAAGTAAAGCTGGTACATGAATTAAAATGGATGAATACTATAGTGATACAAATGACAGTGTTAATAAAAATAAGATATTTAGACAAACATATTGATATTCATGTAACACATTATAAATCAAACAATACTTTATTATTAAGTCCATTTGGAATCATGGTATTTAATTTATGGATCCAAAAAGATTCTTTACCTAACCGGTCCATGTTGTTATAGGCAAAAAAGAAAAATCTGACAATGAGCACTTATTTTTGGGTGATCCGAAATGGATCACAACATGTGAAACTGGATTTACGTTACAATTTCTTATATCAAATCTATGTTTATTCATTCTGCACGATACATTTTGATTAGTTTGACCTACGTATTGCTTATTACAGCCTTTACATGTAATGAGGTAAATTACATTACGCATAGTACATGCAGTTAACATAATTATGCAAATCAAAAGAACGATTTGTAATGATGCTATTAAATAAAGGTTTCTGGTTCGATTCCTTACCAATTCTACGTTATGATTTTAGAATACCTTTTAAATGGTATTTTTATACACAATTATATTTTTTTTATTTCATTACAGTATATTACGGCTCTTTTTGTGACATGCCATCTAGGCTTTAGCGCATACACGCTATATATTATTAAAAATGCTGCACAGATAGTACAAACAACAAAAAAGGTTTGCAATAGTTTTAAGAGAATGGCATTGTTTAAAATTAAAATAAAAAATAAATCATGAAATAGGATTCGAACCAACCAGTAAAAACTTCTACATTTTTCAAGTTAAACCCCTTTACCAATTGCGCCGAGAGGGATATTTAATTTACACCATTTTAACAATTGGATATTAACAATCATATCGATTTTACAAGTAGATCGTAACATTTACGAAATATACCAACTACAGGGTCAAATGCAAGAGTGCCAGGTCAATGTTGTTGGACAATACAATGTGAACATCTACTTCATAAACTTTGGCTAGATATTAGGTTTTTATAATTATCATTATTATTACTATTATAATTAATTTTGTTTTCATTTCAGGCCAGTGAAAAACGTAAGTAGAATTTTCAATTATAAATTTTGAACTGTCGTTTAATTAGCAATGCGACCGATTGCTAAAGCATTTAGAAGACAAGTGTGGAACCAGATATACAGTCGATCAGGCTGTCTGACTTTATATTGGTGACAACTTTGCCAAAAGCTCAAATACATTTTTCAGTGTTGACTATGCAAATGAACAAGAGCTGTCGGTAGAATAGTATGCTCGACTATTCTTAGTGCTTGATAGTAGAAGAGCCTTGATAATGTAATATTTTCAAAGTTAACAAAATGGCCATATTTTTCTTTAAATCGATGTTACAGATATAGGCCTTGAAGAGAGTCCTATTATGTTCTCAAAGAAGTGTATAAAATGTCAACTTATTTCAAAGCCATATGTCAATTGACTTTGAAAATATTTGTGGTGGTACGCAATTTTTAACATAAATTCAAATTCGAAAAAGGGGCATAATTCTGTCAAAATGTTTGATAAACTTACCACCTCCTGTCTATAGATTGGGGCAAGTGTACAAAGTTTCAAAGCTATAATTATGGCAATGGACTTTGAAAATATGTGAGGTGTTACAAAAACTTTAACGTAAATTCTAAGTCGAAAAGGGGGTATAATTCTGATAAAATACTTGATAGAGTTGCCTCCTTCTGTCTACAGGTTGGGGTGATGATGGTAAACAAGTGTGCAAAGTGTCAAAGCCATATGTCAATGGACTTTGAAAATATTTGAGGTGTTACAAAAACATATGTGGTTACGCCGACGCTCGGGTGACTAGGATAGCTCTACTTCTTCTTGAAGATTCTTAAAATCTATAAGCTGTAAAATTGTAACCTCGACTAGCATTTTACAGAATAAAAACCTTGCATATCCATTAATGCAAAAATGTGAATTTACTAAACCATTAAAAGTGCGATGTACGTTGGCTAAGAAAAACAACACGTTTGATCTAACTAGTTTAATATACAAGCTACAATGGTATGAGGGATTTTATATTCACATAGATATTGAATCTATCTGTATTCAGATAAAATATAATAATTAGAAATGTTTGTTTATATGCCGCCGTAAAGTAGTCAATTATGGATTGATACATTTGAGCAGTTACTAGTTACAGCTTGAAACTTATATTCTTGGCGACTTTAACTTTAACTACATACAGTAAACTTCACTTATAGCGAACACGGTTATAGCGAACTTCCGGTTATAAGGAACAATTTATTTTGGCCCGAATTTTGCCCTTCTTTATTTAATATAAATTATACGGTTATAGCGAACACGGTTATAAGGAGTTATCGCTTATAAGGAACTCATTTCTTAGTCCCAATTTAGTTAAATGTATAGAAAATCATACTTTTTTAACGATCTCCAAAATATCGGCAATCCGTAAATATATAGATCCCGCATTTTCAATTGTCGTTTACATTTGGATTAAAACTCGACCGAATGTACCGTTTATTATATGTACTTAAATACATCTATGAAAATGAATTTGTATAGCAGTACGTAATAATTTTTCTATTTAGAATATTTTAGCATGAGTTCTTGTCACCAAGAAAAAAACGGGTATCACTTTCATTCTTTTATTTCTTTTCTTTAATAGTTTTGCTCGAGTAAAATAATTATGATCATTTATTATCGGTTTTCAACATAATTAGGCATGCTTGCAAGCATAATTCATTAAAAACTACAGAGTACGTTTGATTGAAGTGAAATCTCTGTCTTTTATTAGTAAAAATCAGACTTAAAATATAATAGAAGATATTCAATATAAAAGGAAGGAAAATCGAACATTTTGTTTATTCTTAATCATAGAAAAAATAAAGAAAAGCACTGAGAAACAAAATATGATATAGAAAGAGAGTAAAACTAAAACTGAAATAGCAAAGGATTTTAAAACTCCAAAAAGTGTTATTTTGTTACAAGTATCCAACGGATTACAACGCATTCAAAGTTGGCGTATAGAATTGTCAATAAATGCACAATCACAAATTACGCGGATGTATATCATTTTAATCAATGAAAATGCTATTTTAGCGATGTCGATTACCGAATACTTCAGAGCGTAGTACACAAATAAATCTGACTGTCGAGTAATGGAATATATACATGTCGGACTGTTTTGGCGAGATTTTCGCTAAATTATTTACCGTGTTAAACAACAGGTTTATCGTGAGCAAAATACCTCGAAATTAATAAGGATTACAAACCCGAAATGGAAATTCTAAATTTAGAATTGTTTGATTTTATTCATGCTTTCTCCATGTAACTTTCCCGTGGTGCAGAGGTAACGCGCTCGATTAGGGTGTGAGAGATCAAGGGTTCAAGTCCCAGTCGAGGGGAGCTATTTTTTTAAGTGTATTTTAAAGGAAGTAGCCACGATATGCAAGGATAATGTGTGGCTGTCATAAAAAAGTGAGCATAAATGATTTTGACCCTGTAGTTTCATGACCCTTGGTCAAATACTTTTTGAGCTACGTGTGACACAAGTTGATAATTGCAATTTTTTACTAAGTCAAGGGCAGTCCTCAAACTAGAAATGTGTCCATAGGACATGAGTGCCCCCACACTCCACTGTTTCGTCAATCTTATGATTCTTGGTCAAATATATTTTGGGCTACATGTGCCACAAGTTGAAAACTAAAAATCGTTTACTAAGTAAAGCGCAAGAACTTTTAAATACTGAATAAATGTACAAGCAAACCCCAAGATGCATTAGTACAAATGGTGACCAACATTCTTATAGTTTCATGACTCTAGGTCAAATCCTTTTTGAGTTACATGCGACACAAGTTGAAAATTGCAAAATTTTACTATGTCAAGGGCAATAACTCTAAAATACTTAATAAATCCACACGAAAATACCCAGGTGCACAACTACACATGCTGATCAACCTTCCTGTAAAGTTTCATGACCCTAATTTAAATACATTTTGAGCTTCGTGCGACACAAGTTGATAATTGCAAAATTTTACTATGTCAAGGGCAATAACTCTAAAAATACTTAATAAATCCACACGAAAATACCCAGGTGCACAGGTGCAATAACTCTGACAAAACAGAAAAAAAATCCACAAGCGAAACCCAAGGTGCACAACTTCACATGCTGAAAATTGGCCCGGCCCCAGGGTTCATTGATTTTCCTTATTTGTACTGTACATCCTGTATTCAATTTTCGCTATTTCTTCTGGGGTGAAAGGGGCTCCACGTAAACATTTTGACCTATTTCTCAGGTGAGCGATCCAGGGCCCTCTAGGCACTCTTGTTTCTAAGCTTTTACCATATACATAAAAGGAAAATCAATGTTCTCGGGATAGGGCCAATTTTGTTCTGAGGGCTATAATATGAAGAAAAAAATTCAATTTGTAGAGATCCATTATGGAGCTCATATGAGCATCAGATTTATGATATAAATCCAAAAAATAAGTTTTGTTACATGGTCTTAAAATAGGACATAACTCCAGTTAAATTGCATTTACAGAGGTAACACAATGTAATTATAAAGGGATAATTAAGTCTAATAGCTTGGGCTTTTCAGTAATTAATGTGGTCATGATGTGTATCCCTGCATTCACCGTAATAAGTTATAGTATTTACATCAGAAGTTATCATCACTACATGTATGTAGTTAAATTGTTGTCATGTCTGTCTGTAATCTTTGCTTAATGAGAGTGCACCCGCCCGTAAGGCTTTCGCTGTCGAGTACGGACCCCGTACATGTCACCAGTCATGCTCTTCAAGAGTTAATTTTGAAGCACAAAGTGGTGATAATTTACCTCCATGCAATTTCCACGGAGTATTAGCCAAAGATATGAATTTTGAGCCAAAAGTAGGTAACTGTACGGCGGTCAATGAGAAACTAAATGTACAGTAACCTGAGACAATATGAAAGGGTAGTCATGAAAAGGGATGTTGGTGCCAGCAAAATACCTGTCCTTCTAGTCGTTTTACCGTGCTAGGGGCTCACGCACCCTTGGACCACTCCCCTGGCTTTAATCAAGACTTCGGCAGTTGTCCGCAGCACAAGTTCCGCTCTTTTTCCGCCGTCCCCAATCTTCAAATCTTCTGCCGATGCCCCTGTGTCTTCTCAACGACGTACACATTCAGAGGGGAAGAGAGAAGTTTATTCCTTTGTGTGTGTGTGTGTGTGTGTGTGTGTTTGCGTTTGTTATCCCTCGCCACCGGAAAGAGACCATAGGGGCCTTTGTAGTTCAACTCTTGCCATATATACTGCCGTTATTTGAAAAGATTATTTGGTTAAGGAAGATTAATTAATTAATTTTTTTATCATATAAATAGTTTTCTCATATCTTTATTAACCAAAAATTTAAAAAAATAATAATGAAAAAGTCTATGTATTTGCAAAACTTTATTTGATCATATTAAAGGAAGATAATTGTCAGAATGGAATGCATAAACGAAAAACGAAAATCAAGGCCAGTTTTGACCCCGAGATATAATTTGAAATTTTTTTTGTAGAAATTCATTACATGATCCCACATACAAAATATCTAAGCTCTAGGCCTTGCACTTTCAAAGGAGAAGATTTTTAAAAGTTCATTTCAAAAATTTATTTTAAGCCGTCCTGACCCAGATGGTCAATTGAGCATAACCATTTAGAGCTTCATGCTGGGAACATCCAATTAAAATTTCATTACATTTGGCCAGGGTCTTTAAAGACCCTGATTGGGCCCATTGGTTTCTGAGAAGATGTTGTTTGTATAAAAAGTTGACGACGACGCACTGACGGACGAACAAATTGTGATCACAAAAGCTCACCCATTCACCGACAGAAAGTCATATTGACCTCGGCTATCGCCTCTGTCGATTCTCCCATATATGTATCTGATCATGATTTGAATGAAGTAAAAGGAAACTTCAACACAATTTGGATGCAATAAATCGATGGTGCAATTTAAACAATACGTCAATCCCATCCAAATAAAACAAAATGCATGTTATCGTGTACGAAACAAAAAAGTAATTATTGTAATTGTAATAACTTA